TAATAACAAAGATTTCGTGATTGTAAAACTATTCATGTTAAACATTGATGAAAATTTTCCTATGCTTTGAAAAAAACCAAGACAGGTGGTGGAACCTTGAGCAATTAATAGATCAGTTAGATAAAATTAATATTTTTGGCCACACTTTTTACTTTTTGATCTATTTAGATTGTCAATCGTGCAGTTCCTATTTTTTGAATTGACACACCCAGAAAGGGTTGCTGTATTTGCATTTGATTCATGCCATACAAAAAGGTAGCATTAATGAAAATTATTTTAATTAATTTTCAACAATTTTTAATTCGTAATCCTTTTAAGGAAACATGATCATTTCCATAAAATGTGAAAGGCAGATCATTAACATTCTCGTAGAAAAAAATTATAAAAAATGAAAAGGAGAAATTATTATGTAATGTAATCATAATCACAATTATAATTAATATTATTTCCTTAATAGGCAAATGATCACAGATATTGTCTCTTTAATGCTTGATCGCCTAAATTTCCATGTTTTTCATCAATTTTTATATAACGTTCTTCCACGTTCCTTGCTTGTATGAACACAATGGTGGAGAAGAAGGCAAATAAGTCGATTATCATGAAGCCAAATAAAGTTGTGAATAGTTGACGTGCTGATTTGTCAGCTTTCTGTGTTATACTATCAACACAACCAACTTTACTTTTAATAACCAACTTATTTGGACATGCAGTTGAAACCACCGCTAAATTTGTTGAATTAAAATATCCACAACAATCTGACTAATTAAAAAATATTCATTTATTTATTAATAAATAAACTTTAATAATTACAAATGTATGCATGTATCTAATGCAGTATAAAGTACCTCATCTTGGAAAAAAGCTCGTGTATTTGGATCCCAACTTCTCCATTTGTCGTCAAAATGTTTTCTTTCATCCAAAGTTTTAAACCAAACATTTGCACCCATTGCCAATAGGGCAAAAATGGATAGAACAATTAAAAATATATGTGCGTATAAAAATCGTTTACGTTTTAATGGATTAAAGAAACCAACGCTAGCAGTAAAAAATGAAATTATAATAAGACCTCCAACACAAAATGCAGCTATAATAATTAATTTAATAATGATAATAAATATGATGATGTTGTTATTGTTATTAAAATGTACAAAAAAATTTTTTTCCTTTACCTATGAGTAAATTTTTCGTTATTACAAGACTACGTATACTTGTTCCAACTGTGTTAAACCATAGAGCACCAAGTATAATGATAATAAGACCCTTTAAAAAATATAATGATTCTATCACGGCGAAAGAGGTTAAAATTGGTTTGCTGATAGCCCTGTATGGTTCACCTCCAATAATCATCATTTTACGTTATAAGATTTTTTACAAAATATCAAATAACTATATGGGTGATGTGGAATGCGAGTGTGAAATGGCAAACGTTTGTGTTTAATAGATGAAATGAATGTTAATGTGAAAATAATGAAAATGTTAAAAGAAAGTACAATATATATAAAAAAAAAAGGATCTTTGATGACCAACAACATGATTAAATCTAATTAAAAAAGGAAAGATTTCTTTGAAAGAATAAAGAGAAAAAAATAAATAATTGATTGACCAAAAAAGGAAAAACATAAAGTATTAAATATACTAATACTTACTGTATTAGTATTATTGTTTCCCTATTCCTTGTTACACGATCAAAATCAATAATATTTGAACTGTCATAATACATAAACTCTATCCCAAAAGTTAATGCCATTTATACGCATTTTTACCACAGCAGTGTGTAAATTTATTCTTATCATTTCTATCTGGCTAAAGAAAAGTTGTCACCTTCTTTTAAAAAATTATAATTATTTTCTCCCTCTTTTTTTTCATTGTATATATCAGTCTATAAGGGGGGTTATTACATCCAGGCATATGAGATTTTTTGGTTTTGGCATGGTTATAGATACGATTAGGATTTTTGTTTTGACCCCTTGCTTTATTATTATTATTATTATTATTATTATTAATTAATTAAAAATTTCTCGTTTCAACGGAATTTACATTTAAATCGCGCTTCAATAGACAACGAATTATTTTAGTAATAAATATTAACCGCGTTACAACGGATTCACACGATATACAGATCCCAAAAATTAAACCCACATTATTAAATAATATCAATCATATTTCTAAATGATGATTTTACACCAATAATTCTTCAAATAAGATTATCTAAAAAACAACCTTACATTAAAGATTCAACTCTTTTCTAAATGCATATATAAAGGTGAAATTTTCTTTATTGAATTTTTTAAAATTGATAATAAATAAATATCTTCTAACAATTGATAATTTCTTTGATTTCTACAAAATTATAAAATGTCTCAACAACTATCTTCTTCTTCCAAAAAACGTATATATATTACCGTTGAACAAAAACGCGAATTATATTTATTGAAACAAACTAAACCTCGATCGAAGAATATTGAATGAGCACAAAAATATAACATTAGCAAAGCCAAGTTAGTAATATATTGAAAGAGTCTAATAGATGACTTGAGATTCTTATCAAGCAAATTATTTTTTTATTATTCCTGTTGATCGATCATTATCTCGTTTCAACGGATCTAGGTGGCCAGTCCCTTATATCCGTTAAAACGAGGTTTGGCTGTAAATGGATTAGGTTCATGATTTTTATTTTGAATTTGTTGTACGTGAAAAATGAAATCTGTGTGAATTTGCAATTCACACATATATGAAATTCAAATCAGCCAATCAGAATTTCATATTCAAACACCCCACCCCAAAAATTTAATTATTATAGATTTCAATTTCATAGTGAAATTTGTATTACCTCTCTAAATTGGAGATCAAGTCCAGTTCCAGTTTATCACTTACTTTTTATTGCCAAAATGTTTGCCGTGTACTGTAAAGTTGCATTGCACAATATAAAAAATTAATGTAACATTTCAATGCTTATATACATAGTTTCAATTTCACATACAACATATTTAAAGATTTTAAAACATTTATATATACATGTGAATTAAAAACGAATAGTTATCGTATTAAATAATTTTCCTTGTACACAGGGTGCGAAATGTGTGATCAAAAATATCGGGGGAATGCCCGGTTTGGGAAAATTTTATCGGAAATCTTAAAAAAGTATCAGACCAAAAAAATTTTCTTAAAGTAGTGGTATGAATTCTATTCGAATAAGGTTTATTCGAATTACATTGAAAGTTTGAATAAAACGATTTGAATAAAATAATACATTCATATTGTTAATCCAATTGAAATATTTTTTCTTTGACAATCTATTTTCCTTCATAGTCCTTGTATATTGTGGTAATAATAATTATTATCGGGCAAACAGCACTATTAGGCTATTTTTGGTTGCTTTGTTATTTTAGGTACAAAACAACGTCAATATGATTGATATACTATTTATACAACATTTATATAAGATATAATTATTGTAATTTTACAATCCCTTAATAATAACAACTATAACAATATAGAATTTGTTGCATCAAGTTGTGAATTAATATTTGGGGCATGCTGCAACAAAACCAGACAAAGTGAACATTAGTATTACTAAGAATTTCAGGGATTCATATTGTTTGTTAACATCATGATTGTATTGCAATGTAATGTGATTATGATGATATTTTTCTAGATAAAAACAGTTAATATGAAACTCATTTATATCAGGTCTACTATGGAACCCAAGAATTATAGCACCATTAGAAGTATTTTGAAGAAGGAACAAGGCGAAAAAATTGCTCCTTACATTTTCAAAATAAATGATACTCAGATGCTTGAAGCTTATCTAAGAAAAGAAAAGATTACCTATGAAATTTACCAAGAAAGAAAAATAATAATGTTGGAAAAAGGAAGCATCCTGATGATGCATTGTTACCTAATAAAAAGCAAAAATCTTTAAAAGGAAAATAATACCACTTTCTTTAATAGTTGGAATTATACAGAGGGAAATTTCCTCAATTACTTTTTTATTTTCAATCAAGATCATCTTTTAGTCTCTTTGACCTCAATTTGAGCAGTTAATTGACCATTTTGTTGATCTTTTAATTTCCTGTTTTCTTCTTCTAGATGATTAATTTTTTCTTCTAAACTCTTTATCTTATCCAATAACTCTTGTTTTTGCTTTTTACTTCACTCTTCTGATTTTTCCTGAAACTTGGCTACTTCTCTTTCAATTTTTAATTATTCTTTGGTAATTGATAACTCTTTTTCTAGTTCTCTAGTTTTATTTTCTAGGCGAAAACTGAAAGTTTGTGAAAGTAGTTCTTTGTCAGAAAGTGGTTTAGTTGATTTAGCTTTTAAATGACTACAAAAACATCTGTTTCTATTCCTTTTTAACCTACCACATTTCTCACATCATGGAAGAGTATTATTATCATAATCTTTTTTACATTCACCACAGATAAAGACAATGTCAGAATAACCATCAGGAGTATTACGAGCCACCATTTGATGAGTAGCAGGAGCAGTATCAAAATTAAGGAGAGTTGGGTCATCAAAATCTAGAAAGCAGAAGTTACACTCTTGTTCATCTCCCTGGGCTATTTCCAGAATTCTATATTCTAATCTCATATTGGCTTACTTGTTCTTTTGAACAATAAAAGTCTGGAACTTCTCTTTAGTTTTTTCTTTTACCTTATTTACTAATTTTTTGAGTTTGCACAATCTATTTTCTTTTTGTTCCTTTGGTAAAGATGGTAATTCTTTGATTGCTAAATAATCTTTTCAGTTTATTTCCTGATTCTTAGCAGCTAAATTATTTTCTAATAAATCTATTTGGTCTTGAAGTTTACCCATTGCAGCATCATGCTTCTACACAGTTTCAAACATTTGTCATTTTCTCCATTCCATGGCCTTATTTAGTGCTTTTTCAGCCTCTTCTCGCTCCATTCATACTTCATCATCTAACTCTTCTACTCTTGCTTCTAATTTCTTAATTTTTTCAAGCAATTCATTCCTCTCTTTCTCTAAACTAGTTGCTAGTGGCTGTAGTCTTTTAACTTCTTCATTAGCTTTTACATATCAATTTAGTGCATTTTTATGCAAGTAAATAAGACGAACAAAACTTTTTCTAAATTCTTTGTCTTCTAAGTGTTTTAAGGCATAAGGGCAAAGTCAAAAATAATCTATAACTGCTCTTATATCTGTTTCATCTGGATTTCTGTTTAAACTACCAATTAGTTTTTTTATTTCCTCTTCAGTTAAAATGTTGTTTTGGTTTGTCATTTTTATTATTATTATTATTATTATTATTCTTTTTTTAATATCCTTTTTATGAGGGCATATTAAGTATATAAATTATTTTAGTACTTTTTTACTCTAAAACTAACCATATTTGTCAAAAGATTAAACTTATTAATCTTGATGATTTTATTTGTTGCCAGTATAGAATGGTCTTGGACAAGTAATATCTTTGAATTCATCTCTAACAAATGGACGAATATTCTGGTAAAGATATTCTTGTCTTTTGTAATCCAAAGGAGGAACAACTAGTTTTGTATTCAATATAACAAACAGAGATGATGTTAATAGTGCTACTACTAAATTTAGTAATGTAATCATTCACCAACATGCAATTTGGTGCTGTAAAGGGGAACTACCAAGTTTTGGTCATAAAAATCTTGCATTTGAAAAAGATGGGAAGGTTACGGTTCTAAATGTGGAACAAGTATATAATGAAATTGGTATAGTAAATGGTAGTAAATATGATGAATTAGAAGTTTTTCGAATAATTGATAAAACATAGATTATTATTTTTATATCACAAGTAGTATATGTAGAGTAGATATATTGTTATATTGTTATTGACTTCTACTATCCCTAAATTCATCTGATTGATGGTAATGTTTTCGAAAAATTTTATTTTTAAATTAGAATGTTTTGTAACACATCAAGTTTACATACCAACACTGTTCTCCTCAAGAACCATTGGCTAAAAATTAAAAACATGTAATTTCTTTTGAGACTTAATAATATTTTTAAATATATTAAAAAACATAATAAACTTTTACAATTAGCATTTCTATACATTCACTTGCTATTCTTAATTAGTGTTTCTATGTTTAATTGGTGATCTGAGAATTTTAATTAATAATTTGAAATAGCTTTTTATGGTTTTTATATTAAATTAAGAATTCAGATCCAAAAATATGTGGCTTATTTTTATTGACCATAATACTGGAGATCGTGTTATGTAACTTAAATTTTTTATTTGGTTGGGAATATATTTTTCTTCAAAAAAAAATGTTAGTAACTTTGCCACTTGAGCTTTGAAATGAAATATTTAAATTCAATGAAGATGATAAACCACCATTATATAATTATGCAAGATTTTGTACTAGACTTGATTTTTTTGAACAAAATTTTAATAGGTTGACAACTTCTGGATCAAATATTTTAATAAATAGATTAACAAATTGTATTTTAGATCATTCAACAGTTATTAAAGAACTTATTACTGATAATATAAATCGGAGTTTGATAAATAGTTACCATAGATTTGATAATAGTTTTCAGAACCTCAATGAGTTAGATTGTACATTTACTTGCAGCATTGAGAATTTATTGATAAATTAGCAAATAATTGCAAATCTATTCAATCATTAAAATATATTATAATGAATACAACAATAAATTCCAAGATGTCTAATTCAACTAATTAAAGTACAAAATCAAATAAAGAGATTAACCATTCTTTCAGATGCTAATTGTGCTTTTTCAGACAATTTCAAAAAGCAATACTCTCACATTCACAATCAATGATTTATTATTAAAGCTGTGAAATATATTATATAGATAATATGTTACTACCAATTCTATACAATTTAAAGACTTTATCATTAACTAGTTATGGGTTAAAATATTTCACTGCCAAATCTTGAATCTGTGGAGTTATGTATTTATGGTCCACCTGATATGTCTGGTTTTATTAACATCAATGGAAAAACTCTTAAATATCTAGATCTTGTTGCTAATCCACATGATAGCAAACTTTTGGGAAAGCTATTCAATCAATTGTACAATGGTATAAAAATCTAGTAGATTTATCAATAATTTATACAGATGAAGTAGACCAGGAGTTAATGGAAATATTCAATAATTGTATTAAATTAGAAAGTATCAAAATTAAAAATCTTTATTCAATAAAAATAGATGGTGATAGAATTTTAGCTTTAAATCAAACACTACCAAAAAAATTAGTCAATAATTATTAATATTAAGATTTTTTATTAGTAATAATTCTTTTGATACAGTAATCTAATGAAGAATCAGAAAGGACCCAAACCTTTTACAATAAGATCTCATTGTCTTGACAGATTGATAAAAAAATATCAAGATTTAGGATTTTTAAGGGTAGAATATATATTATAAATATTGGAATAGAAAAACATAATTTGTTTGTAATATCATCTATTGAAGATGAATGATAATAGGGTGAAAATTTATAAGTTCAATAATTAATAATAAACAATAAATGAAAATGTTTAATATAGCATTGTCCTTTTTTCCCACAGCCTCCTTTTAGCAAACAAGTGCTTTTATAAAATTTCTTTATTTATTTTTACCTTTGGCTATACATGAACTCAAAACCAAAAGGTTGGAACATTTCAATCTGAGAGGTCAAAAGTCAAATTAAAAGTTAATATGGTCGAAATTACATCATATGACCCTATAAAAAATGACAATCCTATGCCAGAATATTTCCATTATATCCCCGTGGTTACATTTATCACTCCGTAAAATGTCCATAAAAACAGTAGCCAGCTGAGTAAGTAATCCAGATTTTCCTCATGATATCATTTATATTAATATAGGGACTTATGTGGAATTAAAACAGAATGTGAGAATATAGTTCGGGAATATTGATAAAGTTGCAAATAAAAGCGGACCTTTTTATTATTAAATAACAGGGCTGGCTGCGTAAAGGGCTAAAATCCTAATTTGGTAATGACTAAATAGTTTAGTCGGTTTAACCATAGGTTATGCGACCAGCCCTGTTAAATAACTGGTAACTCGCAAATAAGAATGGTCATTCATTTCCTGTAGGTTATAAGACATAGATAGTAATAGTTAAAATTTGTATATTATTATTATTATGTAAAATTTTGTTTTGTGCATGCATCAATCGCAAGTATAAGTAGAAATAAATGTAAATAATTATATTGTTATTGTTATGAATAATTATAAAGTTTAAAATTTTTCTTTTACCGCATAAATAATAACAATTAAAATAACTAGTTATTATGAGCAAGCAACAATAACATACATATTGTCAAAAAAAGAAGAAAGAGAAATTTAAATAGTTATTTAATATTATCACTAAAATGTGTCAACGAATCGTGATTTAAAGTCAATATTAAATAACATTACTACATATCAACTATAAATAAGCTTTAAATATGATGTGAAATAGAATTCTGAATCTAAATACTTAATTCGATCAAATGCTTAGCGAGATACAAAAAATAGGTAAAGAACTGTGGCATTTTCAAATATGCATCACAATCAAGAACGTCTGTCATACAACTAGATAAAGCATTCATCAAGTATATTTCGTAAAACCTGCTTTCCAAGCTTTGTAGGTCTCGTCTAGAATTTGGTTAATTAGTTTTAGAGAGATTCACAAAAAAAAAGTTTTATGAACCCAAGTATATTGAAGACAGTAATGATGGCAATTTTTTTTCAATATTTACTTTTTATCCATTTTTATATTATTATTAATTAATATTTTTTATATATATTTTTGGAATGAAATGATTAAATTAAAAGGTATTTACTAAAGACTAGTGCCATAAATTATGATGATGGTAGTAATTGTATTTACGGCATATAAAAAGTGGTCACAATTACCTTTGCGACCACTTTTGCAACCATACTTTTTCCTTTTTTGGATTACGGCACTAGTCTTTAGTATTTACATGACTTCTTTTTCCAAAGGTTAATTAGTAAAAATGAAATCAGAAAGGATTGTTACGCAACTACATTTTACTTTATTTATTATTAACTAGAGTGACGACAAGTGGTGGGCAATAACCACCACCACCATCCTTAAAACACTTACCCCTTCTTCACACCATACTCATCTTGCTTGTTTCTTTTGTTTTTGTTGTGTTGTCGTGGCATTAATAAAATTTTTAAAAAAAGCAAAATTTTGTGATACAATTGATGCACACACGTTAATTATTTATCCTATTGGTTTTTTTTTGGTAGGACAGACATGAATTGATTTTTTTTTTCTTGGAAAAACAATTTATTTTTTGACAGAGTCCAAGGTGACAAAATGTGAGTGTTGTTTGGTTTGGTTTGGTTCTCCTAAAGAAAACGTGTTAATAACTAACCAGAGGTACTATTTTTTGTATTGATTGATATAATTATTTTTAATTGGAAATCAAAATGCAGAGCAGATCTTGCTGGTGTAATTACAAGATTTTCATTGATAATATTTTGCTTTTTGTAATCCATATTAAAATATTATTATATTATTATATAATTACGAGATGTCAAGGCAGCATTGACTGTTGAAAAAGAAATATTTCAAGTATGCAACATTTGATTACAGGAAAATAGCAGGCGTTGAAGCACGCACGCTACCTTGAACACTTTACAGTCATTCTCATGTATTCCTTGTGTACATAAGGCTAATCTGACTTGCGACCCCTCGATGATACAATGATGCTGCAGAATTCCAGGGGAGGGATGCAATGCCCTGGAGTTACATTGAGACTTCACCAATCATCAATGATGCTTTCACTAATTTTCTCTCACAGTACCCAGACCAGAGATGGCTGCTGCCATGCTAGCCAAAAAGTTGCCTGCAATAATCCCACCTCTAGGGCAAGGATGGCACTGTGACCAAGTCACAACTCTGTTGATGAATATTATGAGAATCTGCAGCTTGTTCAAGCTCAGGAGGTCACAATTCAGAGCAGGGTTGGTGGCCCTGAAATTGCATTTGGACCCTGATGTATAATCACTTTCCTAAATTCTCTGTTTTCTTGATGCTAACCAATTTATGATTTTGGGTAGGGGACTGGATTGGGTTTTTGCCCAATCAGTCTTCTGTCCTGTAGGTTAAAATTATCACATGATTATATACATCTTTGTCAGCAATGTGGCCGACAAGGAAAAGTTATAAAATGGTTTGGATTTTGTTTGGTATGTTTTGTTATAAATTAATCATTTTCCCAAATTTTCTGCTTCTCTTTAATTTTTATCTGACCAACTGAATTTGTTATTTTAGTAAATGGGGGTAGGGTTGTTGGTGAGTAGGCATGCCACTGACAAGACAGGGGACGCCTTTGGGATATACCAGCCAAACTCATAGAAAGGGATCTTTTGTCCAGACTTAGGGTCACATGGATGTTAAGCACAGAAAATGTACACTATCAATGTATGTTTTTTTCAACAAAATAAACATTTAAATAATTAATTGTTAAATATTAATACTTTTCTTTTCATAAAAATTACAGCGACCCAGGACTCAAAACTCCGAATCCAAAACAGCAATCCAGGTTGCAGCCTTCCGAGTTGCAGAATTTTCAAGCCAGTCTTAACACCAACTTTTATTCTAGCATGGCAATAACACAAAGCAATCATCACACAAGCACCAGCTATCAATGATTATATGGTGACAGCCAGCTTGGTCTTAGGGGGGAGATAAGGGAAAGTTTTGTCCAAAGCCTTCCAACATGTTTAAGTCCACTACACCCATGGAAAAAATCCATGGTGCTGAATTGCGCTTGCGCTGTCTTGCATGTATGTGATAGGAAATTTTAATTAAATCTGACACCTGTGATCAACATCAGATTTATTATTCATAAGGAACCATGATTGATAATCAGGAAAAGTAATTTATTTTGTTTACCACAGAGATCTGGGTAGACATGCATTATTAAAAGTTTCATTTTTGCATGGCCTTGGTATAGTTACTACCTGAGTGATGCAATTGCTTGTTATGTCAATGACGATATCAAATGTATTGAATAATCATTGTGATGAATATGGAGACAAAGGAATTCACACATGAGGAAAGTATTAAATATATAGCAATATTTTATCTTATTTTATTTTTTATTTTAACCAAGATATATAATTAATTATATAGAAAAAATACAAGATAAAAAAATTGCCAGTGATTGCATGGAATCCAAGGCTGGAACAATCACACCATTACATGTTCCAAGGTCAATCAAGCAATTATTTGAATC